GTAAATAAAATAAATGAATAAATAGCTGAACATGTTGCCAGGGTGGGCAAGAAACACGGCATGCGTGCACCACAAGATCAAGATGTCATTGCTCCCAGCGGGAATGATCTAATATGCAGCATTAAAGCAACGTTGGGTTCTTTGGTGTGTGTGTTATCAAGGCCAGGCAAAAACTAATGATGTCCTTTTCCCCTTCTGACGCACCCCCGCAATTCCTCCCAGCTCCGAAAATAGGCCTGCCTGGACTGCATGCCAAAGCAGCCCCAGAAGGTTTTTGGTACCAGGCTCCCAAGAGGGGGAACTCTTGAGCAGGAGACTACAGATACAGACTGATTAGTATGGCTTATGAATACGGAAAGTTGTGCATCCAGCGGCAGGAAGACCAATACTATGCAAATGTGCAGGCCTCTATTTGCATTTATACAATACCATGATTCCCAGGCCAAGCATGAGAGGACAGAGCTAAGCCAAAATGGCTCAGAATACACACACACACACAGGCCTGAGCCAAAATGGCTCAGAACACACACACACACACAAAGGGCTAAGCCAAAAGTGGCTCAGAACACACACACACACACAAAGGGCTAAGCCAAAATGGCTCAGAACACACACACACAAAGGGCTGAGCCAAAATGGCTCAGAATACACACACACACACGTACATGTACATACACGCAGGGCTGAGCCAAAATGGCTCAGAACACACACACACACACACACACACACAAAGGGCTAAGCCAAAATGGCTCAGAACACACACACACACACACACACACACACAGGGCTAAGCCAAAATGGCTCAGAACACACACACACAAAGGGCTGAGCCAAAATGGCTTAGAATATGAATCTATGGGGGATGCAGAGAACATTTTCCTCTCACTAGGGAGGAAAAAAGTTGTTTTGCCAAACACTCGTCAATTATTCTCCATTCGGCCAGCCGTACACACAATTCCTTAACATGACACCAGAATCAGGGCAAAATTCAGGGTGCAAAAATGGCCCACGCATTTTCCACAGGTGCTGCGTGTACAAGTCAGGCCTCCAGAGGAGAGAAAGCAGCCAGGCCAGTAGCAAATGGAAAGCTTCCATCCCCAGTGATCGACTGGGTAATTCTGCCCCTTCAGAGCTGAACCATATCGCCCAGTCAACTTTCTGCACCATGCAGTCCAGAGTACAATCCAGGGTGGAGGTTCAGGCCTGGAGACTTTAGCACCAAGACCTCCGCCCAGGTAACGGACTTGGAGTATCACAGAAGCGCAGCAAATGGTTCGTTAATGCATTTATTATTACTACAGTTTTACTCCCAGGGAGCGGCACAGGCCCAATTAACCTGGTGAGCCGTGGGTACAACACATCATTTTGCAAGGAAGGTTGTAAAAGAGTGTCATTGACTTGATCTGTCTCAGACAGCAAAATACTTCAAGCCGATGCTGCTTTTCAGCTTCTGGACTAAGAAAAGCCTCAACCCACCCATCTTTACTAGTACTAGGATTGTCCTCTAGTCCCCCAGCGTGCTCCTGCCAATGAACACCAGAGCAAATATTTCTTTAAAATGGGAGGGATCGCTTAAAAAAGACTCAACTGTCCGACGTGACATGTTTTCCTCCCCAGTGTGGGCCTTTAATTAAATAAATAAACGAAGAGTATTCAAGGCAGTCAATCACATCACAGTACAGACTTCCTCCCTGCTTCGGCCTGTGTATGTTAGGGGAGGGTCGGAAGCAGGAGGAAGGCAGCTTGCAAGGAATTCTGTGTTATAACGAAATCCCACGCCGACAGGAAAAGAAAAAAATTAAAAAGCTGCCCTCTCCTCCCTTCCCCGGACAGCGCACGCACACGCACACACACACACCCCCGCTGCCACTTAGCACTGCATTCCTTTTTTAAAAAATAAGACCACTTCGCCACAAACCTGTAAACAAAGTTGGATAAAATACATATATAAATAAGCCACATTAACCTATGGAAATGGAAGGGGAAATGAAAAGAGGTTCATTTAAAAGGTAACAGATAATGAGATATCGAGGAGCTTGTGGAAAGAAGCTTCTAATGGCTGGCAACCCAGCCGTTATAAAATTGCTTTTAAAAAAGGGACTTTGAGGGGAGAGGATACTAAAACAGGAGGGGTGCTTTGGTGGGCTGGCCTATGCTTGCGTTTTGCAGAGGTGGGGGGACACGTCTGAATGGACACCCCTCCCCCAGTATTCAGTACAAACCTGTTTTGCTTTTGGATGCAACACAGGTGGCCACAGCCTGTTGTGTTCAGCTCCTTCACCTAGGACACCCACCTCCTGGAGCAGAGGATGCAAAGCAGCGCTCCCACTTGCAATGCTCACTTCCTGCCAGTAGGTGGAAGCACGTGGAAACGCAGAGAAGCAAAGCAAAGGCGATTCCCTTCAGGTTTTGGGATTGGGCAGAAGCCATGGTGGTGGAGCAGGAAGCGGGGCTCTTTGGAAGAACAATGTGGCCTTCCCACATCTGTTGCTCCCTCACTAAGTGAGAGATCACATTGGAATGGTTCTCCAGCAGTCTCTGGGACCACCTCCCAACATATGTCTATTTATACTTTTTATTTGATATGCAGAAACAGGAGAAAGGTAAAAAAAAAAAAAAACCCTTAAAGGGTAGAAGAGGTTGCCTGCCCAATCTTTCATCCAGGGAGGGGAAGGAAGGGATGGAGGCTGTTGTGGCAACCTCCCCCGCCAGTTCCTATGTCACTGTTCCCAAGACCCTTCCCTATGATCTATTGTTTTAATCAAGAGATGAAAAAGATCGTATCTCCTCAAATGGCTCAAAGGGAAGACAGCACCGCATACAAAGGAAATGGATGACCTTCAGCACTGGCTTTTAACCTTATTGAATCCAGAGCATTCATAAGAAGTGTTTAGTACCTTGGAAGAAATTTTAACCCCCGAGTCTCGTAACTGGATGCCTCTGGGGCAAGCTAGAACCCAGAGCCTCAGCACAGACTGGCACAAGCAAGCAGGCAGGAAGAGAATCGGGGTCCTGGAAGCCCAGTGAAGGATTTGACCGACTTCGACTCCAAGACGCTGTTTTTCTGTTAAGCCCTCAGACACTGCAGGGCTCTGTGCAAAATGGGCCTTGAGAAGATGCACAGTTCGCTAGCGATCAGTCCACTAGTCCTCACTGAGGTCCTGCCATCAAGACTTTGCAAAGCAACGGTGTACTGGGGGGCCGGGAAGGTGGAACTCCATGCATGAGTTCTCCGACAGCCCTAACCTCTTCAAGCTGTGCTTTCGTCTAGGATTGGGGCACAACGTGTCCACATTTTGCACACGGGTGCAAGCACACACGTTGTGTAACACGGGAGCTGCTGATGTTCCCTTCCTCACCTTTGAGCCTTCACCTCCCACATTCCTACCACTGGTCAGGTGCCCAGTGAGGGTTAAAACTGGTGGTTAAATGCACAATGACATAGGCCGAGAGCTTTTACACACACACACGCTCACACACACACGGACAGTTCCTCCACAACTGGTCTTTTGGGAGAGGGCCCTGCGAGATGGCGCGAAGGAAGGCGGAAGTGCAAGGTGGATTCCCCACCTCACTTCCTCTTCCACGCCACTTCCCCCCTCTTTCAGGTACGTTATTTGCAACTGCATGACGGCTGCTGAGCCCATGTGCCTGGACACACAGGTACTCAGCCCAGGGTTCGAATTATGCAACCCACTGAAGGGATCTGCTGCTTCTCACAGAAAAGGATTTCCCCTTTTGCCGGCAACAGCCAAGCCTCTGCCTCTGCCGTTGTTGGGGCTGCAGGAGGTGAGCAACTGAGCAGGCAGGGAAGGAGGCGGCGTGTATGGATCCCGCTGCCCCTGCAGCTTCTGCAATATTCCTGGCTGGCCAACGCAGCTGGGGGGGGGGGGGGTGAGAGAAGCCCATTTCTCATGCTCACCTTCCCACCATCTGTCTCGGTTTGGCATTTGGCAGCAGCAGCCCCGTCGCTGGCGTCGCGGGGCCTGTGCCCTCAGAAACGGTCTCTGGCACCGACAGAGACACCTTTGCACTTTTCTCATGCCCAGGCACCTCCCACCATGGAATGTAAGCCGCTGAGGGTGGGGGCAGCCTGCCCAACGCCCAAAGACAGTCCATGTGACACGTGGTCATCGCCGGGCCAGCATCTGGGAAGGAACGCTTCTCCATTGCTCCCATCCCACAAGATGCTCATGAGTTTGGGCCACGAGGCCAGGCAGGGGGGCTGGGAACCCGCACAGCTTTGAAAAGGGGTCCATGAAGCCCCCCTGGGCTCTCCTCCACCTCTGAGACATGGTGGATCCTTCTGGAAGCAAGGTCCAGCCTTTCCTTTCCTTTCCTTTCCTTTCCTTTCCTTTCCTTTCCTTTCCTTTCCTTTCTCCTTTCCTTTCCTTTCCAAGGCCCTTTCCTGCCTGGGAGGGGCAAGCTCCCGTTCCCACTGCTGACCCCAAACGCTGCCACTCTCTGACAGGGCAAGAAGCCAGTCCCCGACGTGGAGAGGGAACGCCCCAACCCAGAGGGACACCCACGGATTCTTCATTGCTGTGTCCACACCCCGTCCCCGTCCAGACTCCCCCTCGCAACGAGCTGGCGGTAATTCTTCCTTCCTCCAGAGCATTCTCGGCTAGCGACACGCAGCTTAACGAGGGGCTCGGGCAGGCAGGGCTGGGGGGTGAGGAAGACGTGGTCTGCCCTGCCTGGCATTGGCCACCCCATCCATGCTGACCCCACAGGGGTCAAAGGTCCTCCTCCACCAGCCTTTCGCCAAGGGTGCGGCGGAGGTGCTTGGTTTCGCTGGGCAGAGACTGAGAGGTCGAAGGGGGCCGGGGCGGCCAGCCGGTGCTCCTCTGGGCGGGCAGGCGTGGACCGAGAGGCGGACGACTCCGTGGCCCTGGAAGAGGCGGCCGCGGCTCCAGCCTATTTCCGTGCCCCGAAGGGAGCTTGAGCCAGTTGTGCCAGAGCCGGCGCTCGGCCTGCAACGGACCCCCCGAGAGCCGCGGTCACTGAGAAAATGAGCCCATTTGGGCTCTGGGGGCCGGACAGGCCTGCTGATTGTCCAGGAAGCCACTGACTTCGCCGATGCCGAGGATACTGAAATTGGGGACGGATAAGGACACTTGAGCGGGGGTCCCCAGCGTCTCCGGATCCCTGTCCAGTCCCACGTGGCCCGGAATTAAAGGCAGTCCCTCCGCGACGTTCCCAGGGAGGGCGAAGCCCACGGCGATGGCTTCCCCGGAGCAGTGCAGCGGCTCCTGCTTGCCGGCCGTGGCCACTGCGCAGAACCCGGCGCCTGGCGGCTTGGGCGGGGGCTGCAGGTAGGCGGGTGCGCGGCCACCCACGGGGACCTCCTCCGCAGGGTCAAAGGAACCGTTTGTTTCCGAAGGCGTGCTCCACTCGTAGCCGTGGCCCGACTCACTCGTGCCGCCCGAGCTGCAGGCCGCGCTCTCGCTGCTCAGTGGCTCTGGGGGAAGGGGAAGCGGGACAAGAGGCCGGGGTCACACGTTGCACATTCGAGCGGCTGGCAGCTAAATGGACCCGAGCTGCATGGGCGGAGAAGGGCCAGGAGAGGCCGCGGGACCCTGCCCAGTGCCCCAGGGCTGGCTTTCCATGCCAGTGTCAGCCCCTGTCCCCAGAAAGGCTCTCAGCTAGCTAGCATACCACCCTGAGAGCTTCAGCTACAGGGAGTACGGAAATGAGATCCATGACAACAATCATTGCAGCTGTAGCACTCATCAGGGATAGAGGAAGGAGACTTAAATAACACCAGACCACTGGTCCAGACCCACTCCCATCAGCCCCAGCCAGCATGGCCAGTGGGAGTGACGCTCTGAACCACCCAGAAAGCGCCAAGATGGAGGGAAAGCTGGCCCGCCCTTCCAAGCCCGTAGCCGGAAGCCTGAGGGTGCTCTGCGTGCAGAGGAGGGGCCTCCCTGATCAAACACTAAAAAATACTTTTCCATGCCTTGCTCTGTTTTTCTAGAAATGGTGGACAGAGGCTGCCAGCAACAGACTAGACCACATTTCCTGAACTGGCATCCTCCAGACCTTCCGGACTTGCGACTCCCTTCGGCCTGAGCTGCTTGGAAACTTCTCTCCCCTTTAAACATCACTGTTTGTGCTAGTAACATTTATAGACAGGACGGTAATGTCTTTTACCATTCTACTCGGCTTTGGCGTTAAATGTGTCACCTGCAGAGCTTTGGAGAGAAGGAAATTCATGAATCTAACAACAATCTGGTCAGGTCCCCCATATTCCTACAGGGCACCAGGCAGGGCCAGTTCTGAGCAGGCACCATTGTGTCGGTTGGTCCAACACCTTCGTGTGTTATCAGGCTGCTTGCTATATTTTAGAGGGCTTTCCCCCCTCTCAAGAAATGGATTTGCCGGGTTTATCTTTTATCTCTGCATTCAGAAGCCTCAGTCAGAAGCTTTTTAAACAGGTGTGGTGCCTTCACCTTGGGTTTGGCTAACCACAGGCCTTACACGCCTGGAAATAATCAGGGAGACGTTTAGGGCCTCAAGGCCTGGGCCCTGAGGGCAAGCCCAAAGGTGTTACCTGTGCTCTCCATCGCCAGGTGATCCGTGCCAAAACGAGGGCCCAGGCAACTGGTGGTGGACAGGATGGGTGCAGAACGCGAGCGGCTGGAACTTTCGACTTCTCCACCATCTAAGAAGTTGTCCACATAATCCCTACAGAGGGAAACGAAACAAACCAAGCAAAACAATGTACAGGTGCTCACTTCTGGATGATCAGATGAACACCGGGGAGGGTGGGGGGGAGCAGGCGGGCCGCGTGGGCTGCTTGGACCATGACAGGAAGTCCTGCATGAGCCTTGCAGAGACACATTCTGTTTCTGAGGCTCCTCTTTTGGCATTAAGGAGCGCTCCCCGAAACAAAGACTGAAGCGGGACCCGCAACAAAATGTTGCAGCGTGGAAAAGCTGCTCCGCGGCACACCGCCTACCCCACTGCCTTGCCTTCCCTCCCCCCACCCCCACCCCAATATTCCAAGCTCACTGAGCACACTCCGTCTTCGTTGGGCTATTCTGGGACCCTCTCCACCCTGGTGGTGGGAATTCCTGGAAAATGTTCTTTTGCAATAAGATGCAGCAAATCTTTTTTTATTTTGGCAACATATGGTAGCTGCTTCTTTTTCAGGAAGAGGCTATTAAATGGTTAGATTTTATACAGGAACAGTTTTTAATCTTTGCTGATTTGCATGCTCTTTTAAATTTCCTGTTCCTGGAAATGAATAAATGCTCAGAATCGGTGGATTTTCTATCCTGTTTTGGCAGCCAGAAAAACAACCTTTTGCAACTCCAGAAAGTTAAGACTAGAAAGTTGTATTTTTATAAACATCGATCTCAATCAAGAGCCGTCCATCCATTTCATATGTCTTCCGGCTATTGCCAAATCTATGGATGTAAATATTTTCTTTCCCTCTGTTTCATAGCTGATTTTGGGGGAGTAGATACTTCAGATTGCCAAATTAATTAACAAATAAATATTGCGCTTCTTGGCCACTTTGGCATGTGGGTGGTGCCATTTTGGCTTCAAAAACAACTACATTCACAGTCAGGATGCTGTAAATAAAGGGAATGCTTGTTTGTATCCTGTCTCACAAATTGCTTCCATCTCTGCCTCAGTTCCTCCCAAACACCCAGGAACAGGCAGATGGTGGGCCAGAAACTAGTGGAAGATCTCAGCGCAGGAGATCAACAAGAATCCGGGAAATGAATTCTTGTCAACAAAAACAGCAGTTCCTCTTCCCTCTTTAAATCAGGCTCAAGTTCAAGGGATGTGTGGGTGAAGAAGGACTGTGTCCCGGCCTGAGTTTGTACACAGAGGAGCTCAAACTACGTGCCTTCTGCACCTTCTCCCGGCCTGGAGGTGCAAGAGACACTGTTCCCCCCGGGAAGCTGAGCCGTCTGGAGGAAAGCGAAGCAAAGGGCAAGTTACCAGGGATCAGGAACCATGAGCCGCGTCATCTGACGGGGCTGCACGATGGGGCTGGTGCCCCAGGAGACATGGGAAGCGTCTCAGGTTAACCTTTCCTGGAGCCTGCCTCTGAGGGGCCACGTGGGCGCCCCACGCACCCCAGACCCTGCTTAGCCACACGTGGGGGAACGATGATCCGTGTGGCGGCAACTGCAGGGCTCAGTGTGGGCTCTGTTCCACCTGCCCGTCGAGCAGTTGCCCTGTGGACCGGCCCCAGCAGTTCTGGGCCCGACACCTCCGGGCAGGATCTGGCCTCCCACTGCTCAGCCACCTGTGGACCAGCACCGCCGAACGTTACTGATCGTAGGTCCACGCACGTGGCTCCTGGGTGGGGGACGTACTTCTTTCTTCCAAACCGCGTCTGCTGGGTGAAGTAGTCGTAACGCTCAGACTTCTTCCACATGTAATAGTACTCCACACACTCGCCCACTGACCGGGTGCGGACCTGCAGGCAGACGAGAAGGGGGATCAGGAGGAGAAGCTTGGAAAGGCAGGGGTTTGCGGTGGGGACAGCCGGCCTGGAACCAAACCCGAGTCAACACGGCGCACATTCCAGAATCGCTGGCGATGCGCGGATTTCCACAGGGATCATCCATAACGGACGTCTGACCGATGCCACAGCCGTAGCAGCAGTGCAGAGATAAATAAAAGGAACAACCCCAAATAACTGGCCCAGGGTCCTTAAGACCAACCCGTGAGGCAAGATGCAATTCATCCCGCATTGCTCCGCAGGCCTGCTCCATCAGTGGCCACCTGGCAGCATGTGCTTCAGCCGGAAGTTGAGCACACCAAGAAGCGAGTATTTTTCTTGCCGGCTGAAAGCATCCTCTAACAGTTCTCTTTCCAGAGGGTCGTAAGAATGACTCTTACACTTAAGAAATGGTGCCTGAGCTGCCCTTTTTCCCTTGCCCGTCCCTCTTGGATCGTGATGCCTGCATCGGCTTTCCCTAAGTGGGAAGAAGTTTGCAGTCCAGCGGCCTAGGACTAGGGGATTCAATTTGCTGTTTGTACGATCCTCCATACTCCCTGTGCATGGGAGTGAAAGTTGGCCGGTGAAGAAAGGGGACGGGAAGGAAATGGATGCATTCAGAAAGGAGGGGAACGCACTGCCAAAACCCCAGACTGACAGACGGACGGACAAGGAGGTCCTAGGTCAAATCAAGCCAGGCCTTTCCCTGGAAGCAAAAGGAGTTGACATACTTCGGGCGCATTCCGAGAGAGCCAGACTCCCGGAGGAAGGTCATCCTGCCATGAGAGTTAGAAGTGGAAGGAGAAGACGAAGACTAAACATGAGATGGATCGATTCCATCAGGGAAGTCAAGGCCTTGAGTTGACTAGAGTTGCACAGGACTGCCATTAAGTTGGAAATGACCTGGTACTGCGCCACAACAAATACATTGGCTGGAACACAAATATTTCACACAAGCCAGTAAAATGATCAGCACGAAGATAACCTATTTACCTCAAATGAAGCACACCCAAATCATAAACAATAAACTGCAGAGTCTGGGCCTTTAGCTAAATTAGACAAAATTCCACCAAGTAATATATAACCATTCATAGGCTTCACGCCACCTCACCAAACATTTTGTTCTTGGCAGTTGAGTATCGACCATGTCCGTATGATGGAGAGGTTATAGTCCCACAGATGGGTCTTCTCAAATATTGTTTCCCATACCAGAACTTGCCTGGGCAATCCAGAACCCTCCAACTGCTATGCTACAGCTCCCATGGTGCTCCACCACTTGCTTTTCATACAGGATCGAGAGATCCAGAGAAGGGCTACGGTCAAGAGCAACAGACTCAGGAGATCCGGGTTCAAGTCCCCGCTTGGCCATGCAGCCAACTGCGCCAGTCACAGACTCTCAGTCCAACCTACCTCACAGGGCTGTTGTTGAGATTGAGAGGAGGAGGAGGACGAGGAGAATGACAGAAGCCACACTGAATTCCTTGGAAGGAAAACAGGGTGGGATATAAAAATAACAAATAGCGATCCTTCTGACTAAGGAGATCCCTGCTGGATCAGATCAACGGCAGCCAAGCAGATGGCCCTAAAAAGCAGCCACAGGCATGTTAGGAAGGCAAATGGGTGGCCAGGGACACGCTCTGCCACCACGCTTGTGCTTCTGCGTATGGCTCGCCACAGCTAGTCCACGTGTCCCAGCTCACCTTATTGGCTTGAATAAGGTGGAAGTTCTTCCCGTGGACTCGAAACCCGTGCTCGAAGTTCCTGCATTCCTCTTCGCTCCAGGCACAGAGCTCGTCTGAAAGGAAGGCAAGGAAAAGGAGATGGGAGTGGGCTGTGAGGGCCCCTTGCTCTGCTATTTCCTGGAGACTCCATGCCCGGGGGCAGTCTATCTCAAACGGTTAAACTGGCTGACAGAGAAGGTGCACGAGGACTGCTGTCTCCTCAGCCTCTGTGGGAAGCAGGACTCAGCACAGGGATCGCCAGGGACCCACGTGATCCAGCCAGAGGGAGGGAGATGGCAACCCCTGCTCAGCCACGAATTTCGCTGCAGCAGCTTAGGCCAGTCGCAGAGGGTCAGGCGAAGCTACCTTGCAGGGTCCTTTGTGAGGATGAAAAGGGGGCTGCGGGGAGTGACGAATGAGGGGTGCTTCCCCAAGCATCTTGGGGGGTGCAGTGCGTTTGCAAAAGAGAAGCACGGTGCATCCGGACCAAAGGCGAGGCAGATGGGGCCCATGCACCCCAGCCAGCATCCCTGACAGTCGTGTCTCCTTGCCCTTCCCCAGGCTCCAATCTCCAGGGCTTCCGGGCAGCAGTGCGGTTTTCTCCCCCTGTGGAATGCCAAGATGCCTCTCCAAGGCCGGCTGCTGGCAGAACGAGGCTTCACCGAAACGATGCAGATACCTGGGGCGCCATGGCCTTTCCCTCTGGCCCCTCCCACCCATGGGAAGCAGCCTCCAAGTGCCCCCAATCCAGAATCCAGGGGGAACCCCGCTCAACAGCCCCGGTCCAGGCAGCCCCAAGAGGGCCCCTGCTCACCTCGGATGACTTTCACGTTGAACCGGAGCCGCCGCAGGGCCTCCTCGGCATTGAAGTTGCACTTCACCAGCTCGTACAGCGCCTGTGGAGCACAGACGTGTGACGGGGTTGAGTCAAGGGGTGGAAGGCGCGCGAGCAGGGTGGCAAGGGGGCAGGGATCTGGGGACGAGGCGAGAGCGGGAGACGGAGCAGGCTGGCAGTCAGTTAGTGCGCCGGTGGGGAAATCACGGGACGGATCTGACCGGACACACTTACGTGCCCGTGGCCGAGCCTGCGCTGGGGCGGTGAGGGCGGCAAAGAGGCGGTTCTTCTCCGCTTCCACTGCCCCCTCCGTCCAGCACAGCTGCCTCAAGCGGTGCACAGCCTGATACATCCTGGCCCTAAAAAAGACCCAGTGACACCACTGGCATCCTGCTGAGATGACTTTCCCCAGCACTTCAAGGAGAAAATTGCTCAGATTCATCACGGGCTGGACTCCGCAGGGTTCCATGATGGCGGGGGTCCTCAAACTTTTTAAACAGGAGGCCAGTTCACTGTGCCTCGGACTGTGGGAGGGCTGGACTACAGTTTCCAAAAAATATGAACGAATTCCTATGCACACAGCACATTAAAAATGAATTAAAAATTAATTAACTTTTTAAAAATTAGTTAAACAATTTTAAAAAGCTTGCTCTGCTCGCTCAGGCTGCAGCAGAAGCCACCCGCCGAAAGGGAGAGCACGACAGGAGGGGGAGCCATGAGGGCGCACTCGCCTTGCTCGAGGCCTTCCCGGCTCCTTGCCGCCACCCCGCTTCCGCGCCGGAGGAAGGAAGGTCCCCTCGCAGGCGCTCACCTGGCTCCGGGAGTGGGAGCAGGAGGCCAGAGAGGTGGGTGCTGGGTGGCTCTCTGGCTGGGCGAGGGCCACGAGGAGGGAGGGAGGGGCTGCTTTCTGAGGTGAGGGGAGGTGAGGGACGGGGCCAGCCGAGGGGGACACCTCCCGCCTCTCCCCGCTGTAGGGGGAAGAAGCATGGCGGTCGCTCGATGGCTTGCCCCAAGAAGGCCGTGGCAGAGGTGCGGAAGCCAGGGCACCGCTCCTGCTCCGCCTCGGCCCATGCACCCCCAGGTTTGGCAAGGCAGTCACGGCTTGGCCTGCAGCCAGGGGGTGCGGCTCATATAGTTAAAAATATTTTTTAAAAGTTATATTTTTCTTACCTTCTATCTTTTTTAAGTGTCTTTGTCTCTCTCTTCCCGCTGCCCTCCCCTCTTCTGTATTCCTGCTCTGTATTCAGAGCCAACCCATGTGTACAATAGGGGGAAGAGCCGGTGCATTGCAGTTGAAGGGAGCTGTCACAATTTGGCGCGTGCACCGGCTCTCTGCTAGTCTCAGAAACTGAAAGAGTTTCAGAGAACGCCTGTGCCAGCTCAGAGCTTTTGGACTCGTTCGGAGATCATTATCTCTGAATGAGTCTGAAAGTTCTGAGGCGGGTCAGGTAAATGACCATGACAGGCCGCATCCAGCCTGTGGGCTGTAGTTTGAGGACCCCTGCCCTAAAGAGTGAAATGTGAAAGCCACCTTGAAATACTGGAAGTTTGAGGACCCATGCATTACAGGAAGCATCCAGGGCCCTGTCTGGTCCATCATTGTTGGATGAGTTTCAATGGCTGCGACCTGAGGATGTGGACAAGGTGCTTGGGATGGTACGCCCTACCGCCTGTTTACTGGACCCCTGCCCTTTTTGGCTCCTTACGAAAGCCAGTCATGGGATTGGTCCCTGGGTCCAGGAAGTAATCAAAGCCTCACTGAGGGAGGGCTGGCTCCCTGCCCCCTTAAAGGAAGTGGTGATCCATCCTGTCCTGAAGAAGGCATCCCTGGACCCAGAGATGGTCGCCAATTATAGACTGGTGGCCAACATTCTGTTTTTGGGCAAGGTGCTTGAATGGGTGGAATGATGGTGGAACAACGCCGGGCACTCTTGGAGAAAACTGACCATCTGGACCCATTTCAGTCCGGCTTCAGACCCAGGTATGGTACTGAATCTGCCTTGGTCGCCCTGTATGATGAACTGTGCAGGGAGAGGGACAGGGGGAGGGCATCCCTGTTGGTTCCCCTGACCTCTCAGCAGCTTTCGAAACCATCAACCACGCTGTCCTTCTGGATAGGCTGGCTGATTTGGAAATAGGAGGCACTGCTCTGTGGTGGTTCCACTCCTACCTGGCCAGCTGATTCCAGAAGGTGGTGCTGGGGGACTGTGGCTCTGCACCATGGCAACTTTGCCATGGAGTTCTGCAGGGGTCCATTTTGTCTCCCATGTTCTTCAACATCTATTTTGATGAGAGGCGGACCTGGGAGAGGTCACCTGGGGGTTTGGGCTGCGGAGTCAGCAGTATGCTGATGACACCCTGCTCTACCTCTCCTTTACATCTACTCCAGGTGAGGCAGTGGCTGTCCCAAACTGGTGCCTCGCCGAGGTGATGGGCTGGGTGAGGGCCAACAAACTGAGCCTCAATCCAGATAAGACAGAGGTCCTTTTGGTAGGTGGTTCAGGTTTTCAAGTAAGTGATTTTGGCCCTGTCCTGGATGGGGTTGCACTCCCCCAGGACAGGGTCTGCAGCTTGGGGGTGCTCCTTGACCCAGAGCTGTCCCTGGAAATCCATGTGACAGTGGCAGCCAGGAGCGCCTTCCTCCAGCTTCAGCTGATCCAACAGCTATGTCCTTATCTGGACAAACACTGCCTGGAATTGGCGACACACGCCCCGGTAGCCTCCTGGATGGACTATTGTAATGCGCTCTATGTGGGGCTGCCCTAGAAGGTGGTCCAGATATTTGAATTGGTTCGGAACAGAGCTGCTAGATTGCTGTCAGAGGCCAACAAATAACACCGGTCCTCTATCAGCTTCACAGGCTCCCGATTGAAGTCCAGGCCCAATTTAAGGTGCTGGTACTGACTTATAAAGCCCTAAACAGCTTGGGACCAGGATACCTGAAGGAACATCTCCTTCCCTGTAAGCCCTCCTGCCCCTTAATATCTGCAGCAGAGGCCCTGCTCCGGGATCCCTCCTTGAAGGAGGTTAGGAGAGTGAACACTCGGAGGAGGGCCTTCTCTGTGGTGGCTCCCCAGCCATGGAATGCGCTCCCAGAGAATGCGCTCAGCCTGGCGCCGACATTATATAGAAACATAAAAACACAGAAACAGCGTGAGCCAGAAGGGGCCTCTCGGGCCATCTAGTCTGACCCCCGGCTCCAGCCGGCTCTGCTCACAACATGCCCACCATGGGCATGTCCAGCCTGTCCTTAAACACCCTCACCGATGGGGCATCAACCCCCTCCCGTGGAAGCCCATTCCACACCCTCAGGGTCCTGACTGTCAGAAAGTGCTTCCTGGCATCCAAGTTGAACCTTGGTTCCCTGAGCTTTGCTCCATTAGAGGGCATCCTGCCCTCCTCTGCAGGGAAGAACAGGTCTCTGCCCACCTCCGTGTGACACCCCCTCACACACCTGCATGTCGCCAACAGATCCCCTCTGAGTCTCCTCTTCTCCAGGCTGAAGAGACCCAGCTCCCTCAGTCCTGCCTCATACGGCTTCCCCTGCAAACCGGCCACCAACCTTGTGGCCCTTCGCTGCACTGACTCCAACCTGGCTATATCCTTCCTGTAATGAGGAGCCCAAAACTGAGCACAATACTCCAGTTGTGGGCACACCAGAGTCGTGTAGAGTGGCAGTAACACCTCTCTCGATCGAGAAGCCACACTTCTGGCTGTGCAACCAAGGGTGGCGTTCGCCCTCTCGACCACCGCATCACACGGCTGGCTCATGTTCAGCCTGCAGTCAACCAGCACCCCGAGGTCCCTTTCACAAGTGCTGGTCTCCAGCCACTTGTCCCCCAGCCTGTACTTGTGACACCCATTCCTATGCCCCAAGTGCAAGGCCTTGCACTTATCCACATCGAACGCCACCCTGTTGTCTCCTGCCCACTTCCACAGTCTGTCCAGATCCTTCTGGATCCGGAGTACCTGCCCCAGTTTTAGTATCGTCTGCAAATTTGATTAGCAGACTGTTCTCCTCTTCTTCCATGTGGTTGATGAAAAGATTAAGTGGAATCAGCCCCTGGACAGAGCCCTGGGGGAAGCCGCTTGTCACTGGCCGCCATCCCGATGATTCCCTGCTAATGGTTACCTTCTGCTTTCGGTCAGTCAACCATGCCCTAGTCCACCGGACAGTGCTTTGGTGTATCCCAAAACTCCCCAGTTTCTCCACCAGGATATCACGGGGCACTTTGTCAAAGGCCTTGCTGAAATCCAGGTAAACCACATCCACTGCATCCCCTCCATCCAGCCACCTCGAAACCTTGTGGAATTCTATGACAAGGTTTCGAGG